CTGCTGAGGTTGATGAGGCTGATGAAATCGACGACGAGCAAACGCTGAAAAGGCGTAAAGAAATACAGAAATGGAAAACTGAGGTAACATAATTTACAATTCAAAAAAAAGATGCAGTAGCTTAACGCAGTAAAAGGTGAAACTGCGGCCGTTTAAATTTGTCCAATTGAAAAATCTTTTTTAATGTTTTTCAGAAGAAAGTTGCTGCTGGAGAAGGCGCGATGCAGAAAACGAGTCCTTTGCTTGCTGCCGCTTTAAACATTACAAAAAAAGGAAGTAAGAAATTTATTCTCTTTGTTTCCGTACCTATGTTTTATGCTGTTAAAAATCATAGGCTTCATATCTCACTTACTGTGAGTGACAGGAGGCACTCGAAAGTATCCTCAGTAGTAGCACACATGCCAGCAACTTCATTAGCCCCTAACAAGACCGTCGATGGCTCTTTCTTTCAAGGATTGCTTAGGAGCTAATGATAATTTCAGCTCCCTTACATGCACAGGTACCATCATCGAAACTAGTGAGTGAGTCACAGAGGGATTGGTTTTTTTACTGCTGTGTTTGACTTCTTATCTACAGCAGGGGTATAGATAGCACTATGCCCCAGTGTCGCATGCTTTTCAGCTTACATTGTATGGGGGATAAATTGCAGATCTGAATCGAAGCAGCAGCCAAAGCCAATCACGCAGAACAACAACTGATTCTCCGACTTGTCGGAATTCGCTTTTATCCCACCGCAAGAGTTTAATTCATGTAGTGGAACAGACTCCCATCACGTTCTATGCAACTGCACCAGCATCTACGAACTTGTCCACAAATGAGCAACCCGACAAAGTACTGCTTTTCTAATTTGCCAAAATATTTGAATGCAAAAAAAAAAAACGTTGATTACTAAATTCGCTAATTTTCTTTTATGATTTTCATTCTCCTCTTCATAAACAAAAAGTTTTTTGCATAATTTTCTCAAATGCCACGCCTCAATGAGCGGTACCCACGAAGTGGTACCACTCATTAAACAACCACTTAGGCGTCTGCAAAAGAGGTGATGCACATACATCGAACAGTCTCTTAGTAAATACTGGAATTATGTATCCTGAAATCAAAAACTGTGGCTTAACTATGTCTGACAAGCGAAGCATCCCAGTAATATGCTATTTGCTGTAGGATGTTATCAGCATGACATTCTACAGCGAATGTCAGGACAGTCCTAGTACCTGTAGCACTTTCCATAAATGTAATTTATTCTTGGGTATCTGCAAGACGGGCCGTATTTTTTTAGTTAATTGAACAGTATCGAAAAATTGCAGATGCAAACCGCGACGAAACGGCCG